GAAGTCTCGATCACCAGAAATTAATAGATAATTAGCAGGTGCAGGATTATCCACGGCCCAAAACAGCATGTCAACAAGAATCTTTTTGTCGCTGGCGTCTTTAACACCTATGGCCAGAAATGGAAATGCCAGACAAACAAAATCAGATAAATCAGAAATTAAAGGTCGGGGTTATCTTCAATATGGAATTTGCAATTAAAAACACGCGGGAGAGAGGATACATCCAGTAATTACTACTTCACATCTTCACAAACCAGTGGAAATGAGCTAGGCATCAAATTTCAATGAACTTCTTTGTTATAATCAAGAGCGTCAAGTTTTACTGCCCTAAAGATCCATCGAATATCCACCTGATAATATAATAATTTCATGAAAAGGAGAGTGAAAAAGACCTAGGAGACGGATATATGTAATCTGAACATATCTGGATTGCTTTCTATTGGGTGCGCTTCAGATTCACTCATGTATGAACATGACTATGCTATGAAATCATCGAAATTTATTGAGAAGACGCGTAAAGACTCCAACCGTATGTGGCCAAAATTAGACGTACACACAAGCCCTGATTGATACCCCGGGGGGGGGGGATCTGCGTCGACTTGATCCTCCAACAGAAAAACCGACGACAATTAAGCGAACTAGATTCTAACTCGGGTAAAAGCCCCAAACGATACAAGGCAGGTCCCAGATAGAACATTCACAGTTTGGAAAAAAAAGCACATGCAACATAGTAGACGGAAAATAAGCAAAGGGCCGCAATCTAGTAATATCGTGGGCATAAGCATCAGAGATATACCAGCCGGAACATGGTTGAGGGAGATTCCGGTACTGGAGAGAGCGTGCTGTACAGAAGCAGTGATGCGAGTAGTATCGCCGTAGGCGGAGATGGAAACGGGACCACAATAATTCATCTGAACCAGCGCCGAGCTGATGTTCTGGGCGATTGCGTGCGGATCACAGCCCTTGGGAACATGGCAGTTCTCGATGTCCCACCACACACCGAAATCTTCGCCGACGAGTACTGTGCCTCCGCGTACGGCGTCGCTCCACCTCCGCCCATGTTCTCACTTCTCACGCTTCTGCGAATAGATCTCGATGACGATCAACCCTCCGATTACAATAATATACAGACACGCTGTACAGGTTCGTACTCTGACGATGGTGGGAGGGGTTAGAGGCTTAGAGCTGAGAACTGGAGGGAGGGTTAGAGAGAGATGGAGAGGGCTGAGCGACTGTGCCTTACTTCTATGTTTTGTGGCTAATTTGGGGGTCTATAATGGACACACCTGTTTGCTTTGACGTATTTGCCCTTGTGTTATTTGGGCTTTCCCCCAAATTTCACAGCGGGACCGTAGACCAGCGGGAATTGCAGTATACAGAATTTTTTATACTATACAAGTATATAATAAATAAATGAAAATTTACCATCTCTTTCTGTTCTCTCTCTCTCTCTCTCTCAGCGGTATAGAAATTTCTCTTGCCTTGTTATTTGAGTCAGTCTTTTCCCTTAAGTGGGGCTTGGTTGCGAACCATTGATTGGGTCAAGTGGCTAATCAGTCCTGGCTTCCGGCAACTGTGTAAAATTCAAATTTTGATTTTTTGAACGATAGGAAACGATGTTTGATGACACGGAAAGATAGAGATTCTTTTCTTAGCGACTGAACGGATGAGTGGCGAATTTTCTTGCAAGCGAAGCAAAAACTACGGAGGTTAATCTAAGGGGGTGGGTCAGGCGGATTCTCTGGCCTTTTGGTTCATCGAGTGAATGGCTGTGATTTCTCTTTTTTTTTTTTTTTTTAAGGTAACCGGGGAGTCTTGTCGCATGATTCTGTGCCTTACGTGACTTGTAAAATCCACGTATGTGCATAGTGTTCTTGACTTACTGGTAACATGAATGGCACAATTTCTACTTGTCATTGATACGTTGTTGCTTCCAATCCTACGTAGAACAATTGCATGGCTAATCTGCTTGGATTAATAAGATTAATTAACTCTATTATTTGTTAACGAGGTTTTTTTTCTTAAATCGCACGTTTTAGTTATTTGTATAAATACTGATCTTGTATTTAAAATTAAAGTTAACCTCTATACTAATTTCTATATATAGAACTTAGAATTGGAGCGAGGTTTTTTTTTAATTTTAAAAAAAAAAGAACAGAAACCCAAAATAAAATAAAAACAACAAACCAAAGGATTGAAATGCCAAACACTAATCATGCACTAGGATCCTAAAGTACTAAGAGGTGTGCAATTTTATTTGATATATTGTTGAGTATTAAGGATTTTTTTTTGGAGTTGCTTATACTAAATAATTATAAATACATTTACATAAGCAGAAAACAAAAAAAATTTCATACACTAACCTCATATTTGATAAATATAATTAAAAAATTAGTTATAAATAATTTTACTGCTATTCCAAATAGCACAATTTGAAAAGGTAGCGTGTACCTACTCATATTAAGTCATTTTCGTTGATGTCCTTTGTGCTCTGCTTCCCCAGAATTTCAACGTTGCTGAGGCCCGCGTCCCAGAGCAACATGAGGCCATTATTCGCAGCCCATTCTTTCGCTTTGTAACGTGTACAGTGGCCCAGCGTGTGAATTAATGTGAACCCACTTGGGGGGTGGTTGAGATTTAGTTTCCATATTCTTCTTAAAAAGTGTTTGGATAAAAATAAAATCATAGTTTTAAAAATATTTTTATAGTATACGGAATAAGTATATGAAAGAGTTTGTCTCGATTTACAGAAAAGTGCTTCTGAGAAGTGCTTTTGATGTTGCCCAAACACTTTTTTTGAATTAGTTCCTTTCTTACCGTTATTAGACGTGAATGCAGGTAACTTCAATATTTAGATTTTTAATACTGAAATGCTATCTAGTTTAAAGAGAAAATAGAAAATGAAGACCCCTTAATATTAGAATTATGATTTGAGACTCTCAATTTAAAAATAACAAATAAGGACCGGGTTCCACTCTTGCAAATATAAAATATAGGTAAAATGTCTCTAAGCCAGATTGTGATATGATCTACTGAAGTTGTCATTCGCTAAACTGAACTTATCATTTCCTATAGTCAACTTCGTCACTTGACATACCTCAATCAAGTTGTGATTTGGTCTACTGAAATTGTCACTTGTTAAAATGAGTTTGTCATCTGGCTTACGGGTATTTTAGACGTTTCACCATAATTTCATATTTGTAAAAGTGAAATCGAGTTCTTGTTTGTTATTTTTCAAATTAAAAGTCTCAAATCGTAATTTCACACATTATGAGGTTTTTATTTGCAATTTTTTCTAATTTAAAAGAATATCATATTTGGATTTTCTTCCATGCAATCTCCGCTCTCTGTTTTTATTCTTGCCTGGACGAAGAGTAGATGACCGACTTAAAAACCCTTTTTTTTTTTTGCCAGATACTTAAACACAATAGTTCAAAATATTTTTTATTTTGATAATGGATTTTTTTGTTGTTATTGTAACTTAATTCATAAACTTTAACTCAGTACAATTCTGCCCTTAAATTTTAATTCAACTGCAACCTATTTTCAGAATTTTAAGCCAATACAACTAAATCTCTGTAACTTTAATCATTTAAAAATTTAGCCAATTAATTTCAAGAAATATTTAAATTATTTTTTTAAATCTATAAACTATACGTAAACTCATGTATTACACACTGGCAAAAAAAAAACTCATATACACAAAACATAAAAATGCGATGTATTGTAATAAATTATATACATGTATGTATGTATATTAATTTAAAGAAGACGATACTACAAGACTATCGAAGGCTTATCTGGAATTTTTTATAAGTAGTTTGTAAGTAGTTATTAATCATAATTTATAAAATATGAGATAAGTATATGAAATGAGTCTTATCCTAATTTATGTAAATGTAATGTGCTTAATGACATAATCATGAATCCAAACAAATCCTAAATCATGAAGCCACTACCGTAAATTTTATATTTTGTATGGAGCCACACGAAAGGCACCTTTACAAGCCCAGTTTGTGGTCGGCCTGGTATGTCACAAACGATACATGATATGTTTTCTTTTTTTTCCCTCCGGTCATTAACATTTAATACTTTTTTCATCCTATTTATCTATCTTAATTTAAATTTTTATTTTTTTCCCTAAATACATGTCCTGTAATAAAGATAATTAATATTTAAAACAACGTGACATAAAATAGAGGACAGAGCTAAAAAAATTATTAGTATATGATGCACAAATTTTATTTTTCTTCTTCATCTGTATGTTGCCCCACCTAAGAAACAAAGAATGAGGACGAAGGGATTATTAATATATATATATATATATAAATTCTATACTACTCCTCCGGTCCTTAATATAAGACCCATTTAACTAATTTGATTAGATTAAGGAAGTTAGGTAAGTTAGTTAATTATAAGAAATGTGACATGTTTTTCTTAAAATACGATAATAATCTTTCTTAATACCTCATCTTTCTCTTCTACTTGATTATGGTTGAGGGAATATATATAGGGGTACTTTAGAGAAAATTGATAAATATGATAAATGAGTCTTATATTTAGGACCAAAACCAACTCAACAATTGGGTCCTATATTAAGGACCGGAGGAGTAGTAATTTACAAGGTACAAACAATATGGCTTGTAACTGCTGTGATGGTTGCTTGAGCGTCAGCCGTGCGTACACGTGTCGAGTAGGGATAGGTCCACCCCAAAATTTGGATTTGCCGCGCTTGCCACCGGGGGGTCAAAACTCAAAACTCAAAACTACTCTAAATAACCAGCTGTTGCTTCGGGTTTTGTCCCCGCCACGTCCCTAACCCAAACCTCTCAAATTTCAAACCACCCGCCTCTCTTCATCTTCCCGGAGCTCCGTTCCGAACCAAAACTCATCCCTAACCTCCCTTCATAGCTAACATTCGTCGCGTGAGCCCCACCTCACTCGCAAATAAGACAACCAGATTATTATGGCAACTCCATAATTAAATACCAATTTCCTCGTGTCACGCCTTATTTGCTTCCGACTCTCCTTCCCCATTTCTATATTCTCTTCCGATCGCATCCACCCTGTTCAATCTGCGTCATCTGCTCCATCGGCTGTCCCTGCTGCCTCCCTTCCTGCTTTTTCGCCGTTATTGTCGTAGCTCAAAATCAGAGCTCTAAGCTTTTAGTGGGGACGAAGATCGAAGTCCGAACGCAAAGCTCGTCTGCTGGTTCTGCTCTCCAAATGGTATCTGATAATTTCTACTCTCTGATTGTCGCATGACTATACGACTTAGTTTGTTTGAGGAAAACAAGCTTCCCTGGATCAGCTTCCTCGAAATTTCTCCTCTTGGTTTTTGATCTATTGGAGTGGATTGTTTGGGAAGTCGAGGGTCTGAAATCTAGTTAGAGTTTGAATGTTCAGTTTAAACACGCTTGAAGCTTCTTCACATATCTCAACCCATTAATTTCTTCCCATCGTTCTCTTGACCCGCTTCATTATTATTTATTATTCGATGTTGACAGCTAGACCCACCTCGAGACACTATTTTTCTGTCTTTCTCAATAATGGTAAGGGCGGACTGCTGGTGTCTTGTACGCCAGGAAATATTAGCCTAGTATTTTGCTTGGATTTAATTCTTCAAACAAATCAATGCTATCTAGCCGAGAAGATCGATTTAAATTCGCTTCCCGTTTGAAAAGTTGAAAAGCCCCTTCGAACAAAGTTCCGGCCCTTTTCAACTCGCCTTGTATCTTGTGTTATGCTTTTTAAAATCAACTAAACTATTGATTTGTCCTTCTGGTGCATTGAAATTTAATGCACAACTACCCGGTTCACGTGCAGGGATGGAGCTTAACTGCTTTCATTCTGAGGAGGACCGTAAACTGTTGATCTTTTGGTCATAGGACTGGATTCGGTGTATGTACGCTCATGATCGCATTATCTTAGTAATAGACTGCTGGAACAAAAAAATTCGAATCCCCATGCCAACTTCGGAGAATCCATCGTCATCTCGATCTTTGGCCTTGACATCCATACCGGCTCGAGATATTGATCCATTGTTAAAGGATTTGAATGAGAAAAAGCAGAGCTTTAGGCGCAACGTGGTGTCATTGGCTGCAGAGTTGAAGGAGGTTAGGAGCCGCCTTGCATCACAAGAACAGTCATATGCTAAAGAAACCCTAACAAGACAAGTACTATATTTCCTGTGCTATTCTTTTTGGATTGCATCTAAAATAGTCTTTTTGTACCTTTACAACCTTGTCTTCCTCTTGATTTTAATGATTTCTACTTTTGGATTCTTCTTGTTAGTGGGGTTCACAGTTATTCACCTATTTTAGTTAGGTAACTTTTGTGTGGGGTATTTAATTACAGGAGGCAGAGATGAAAGCCAAGAACATGGAAGAGGAAATTGGTAAATTGCAGGCAAGATTAGAAGAGAGAAATGGTCAGCTTCAGGCTTCAGCCGCTGCTGCTGAGAAGGTTATAATCATGTTCAATTTATATATTCTTATAACTTATGCTCAAGATTTTTTTTTACCTGGTTCTCTGATTAGTAGTGTTACTTTTATCTTTAGTTTATTGTCTATTTAATTTGAAACCGTCATATGTCTCGCAAAGTGCGTCGTTCGATTTCTCGCACATTTTATTTTCATTATCTCATACAAATACTTCAACCCCACTGCCAATGGACTTATGTTCCGACTGGTCCGATATTTTTTCCTGGTTTAGGCGGAGCCCATAAAATTAAGGGAGAATTACAATAAAATCCCAAAAAAAGATAATTACAAAACAAGTCTTGGTGTTGTCATTATCTATTCTAAAACTTATCATTACAGGCTGTTTAAGTTATTATTAGGATTTTTTAGTAATTATTTTTTTTTTCTTGGTACTTGATTGTAATTTTTCCTAAAATTAAAGGGTGTCGGATTGCTTTGATATTTGTTTTATTTTTATTTTCATTTGTAAGAATGATTTTTTGTTTATGAAATTCTAATTCTAATGCCAGTAACGTAGAGCTTTGATTATTATAAGTTTATGGTAGTGCTAGCCTGTTAGGACTTAGGAGCCACCTTGCAAGTTTAGATATGTAGGGAGCAGTTCATCATTGGTTTTCTTAGTTGGAAAGTCACTGAAATGAACAATTTCCTTTGACGTTTCGGCTGATAGTCAAGCACTTGCTTCTTTATCTGTATATTTTTTGCCCAGCTTGGTCTTTAAGCTTAATTTATTACTAAATTCTAAGGTTATTGGTGGACCCAAGTATTATAGGTTTTTAATAATTTGACATTAGAATGAATAACTAAGCTCCAACTTGTGATTTTATGTTAGGAGATCTTTGCTCCGTCTCTTGCATACTTGATTTCTGTTGGGACTGTCCAACATTCAAATTTGCTTCAAAAGAAGTTTAATTATATCTTCCTCTAGTTTTAACTTAATAAAAATATTTGTTGAAATTTAGGATTTAAATTGATGCATCCAAAATGGAAAATTTGATGTACTCGGGGACTAGATCTATCTGAAATTTGAAATTTTTGGCACTTTAATCGATCACATGTTAATTACAGTCTTGTTTGTCACACGCAATGATATATCATGCCCATTTCTTTAATGATGATTTCATACAGATTTTAATTGAGTGATACTAAATTGTTTCTGGTTTTTTTTCACCTGTGGATTAATGCATTTAGCTACGTAGATACTAATATAATCAGGGGAGAAATTTTGATGCAAAATATATACTGCGTTTGGATTTGGCGGCAACAGTTTATTATCAACATGGAGAGAATTTACATGAAGGATTTTGGTGCATCTTTTCCCCCTGTTTGCTAGGGTGCTATCTTAGAAGCACACTTGTTTACTCCAAGCATTAATATTGTTGCCATTTGTTCCTAAGATATATTATATAATCCTGATGCAGTATCTGAAGGACTTAGATGATCTTAGAACCCAGTTTGCGGCAACTAGAGCAACGGCAGACGCAAGTGCTGCATCAGCTCAATCAGCACAGCTCCGATGTTTGGAACTTGTAAAAGAGTTGGATGATAAAAATAGTTCACTGAAAGAGCATGAGGAGCGTGTAACTAGGCTGGGAGAGCAGCTAGATAATTTACAGAAGGATCTTCAGGCAAGGGAATCTTCGCAAAAGCAATTGAAAGATGAAGTTTTGAGAATTGAGCGTGATATCATGGAGGCAGTTGCAAAAGCTGGAGCAAACAAAGATTGTGAACTGAGGAAGATATTGGATGAGGTTTCTCCGAGGAATTTTGAGAAGATAAACAAGCTCCTGGTGGTTAAGGATGAAGAAATAGCGAAACTAAAAGATGAAATTGGGATTATATCTGCTCATTCGAAGCTCAAAACTAAAGAATTAGAATCTCAGGTAAACAAGCCATTCTTTTTCACCTCTTGTTCGTTAATTTAGTGGCTTGAGTATTTAAGAATGTTGACTTTTTTTCGGAGCACAGTTAGAGAAACAGCGACGTGCCGATCAGGAACTTAAGAAAAAGGTGTTGAAGCTGGAATTTTGTCTGCAGGAGACTCGTTCTCAGACACGGAAGCTCCAGCGGGTAAAGCTAAGCTTTTCATTTCTTCTTTTCTTATCGGTAGAAACATAATTAGAAACACGACTTATGAATTTACTTGAATGCCCCGAATTGTTTGCTCTCCTATGGTGGTGCTATAATTTATGCTCATGATCTAACCCCATTAGGCATCTTAGTGGAGTACAGAATATATCACTTGCAATGCATACGTAGGCTTGCTAGTCTAATGACAAACTTGTATGGATTTATGGACAGATGGGAGAGAGAAGGGACAAAGCTATTAAAGAATTGAGAGATCAATTAGCAGGAAAACCGCAAAGTGTAGTTGCGGGCGGGGAAAAGCAAAACCAGAATTTCTGGGAAACCTCTGGTTTCAAAATTGTGGTGTCCATGTCCATGCTGATCTTGGTGGCGTTCTCAAGGCGGTGAAAATCATTCCCCAAATTCAGTGATTCTTGTATATATTTATACACACTCAATCTAAGTCCTTCTTAAGTTCATTGAAGAAAATAGTAGGAGGCCTTTTTCCCTGTAGAGTTACAGATCTAGTTAGATATTACCGAGTTTGTAGCATCAGGATCCCAACATATTTTTGGTGAAACCGTTAAAATAGTGGAATGAGGTTAATTTACTCTTTTCCACCCTTGTATGATAAATGATGGTACTCTAGAGGAAAGGATAATGCTGGGGAAGCAGGTCCAGATGATTGCTAGTATAATTATTTGCTTTAAAATAATGATGTATGTCGGCGATCAAAACGATGTTGTGTCCAGCTGCCGAGTCTTTAATAATCTGCCTTTTGCATCATTGGAGAAGCTGATCACATCACATGGATATGCGCTGCTTATATACAAATGGCGTTTGGTAAAGTGGGTAAAACGGCATCCAATGCATGGAGATGCCGTTATGTTTCGTATTTGCTTTCTTTCTTGGAGCAATCATTACGTTAGATTATGGGCCATTCCCTGACTATTTGGTATATTTTAAGTCTCCACACCACAAGACTAGAGCTGGTAATACGGGCTGGGCCTGCGGGCCCAGCCCGCCAACCCGCCAAAAATGGCGGGCTCGGGTTGGCAAAATGCCAGCCCGCCAAGGTGCGGGCTACTCCAGCCCGCACCGTTTTCAGCCCGCTCCGCCGCGGGCTAGCCCGCCAGTTGGCGGGCTAGCCCGCTTTTTTTTTTTTTTAATTTTAATTTTTATATAATTTCTAATATGTTATACGACATAATTGGAGGATTTTAACCCCCAAATTTCATATTTATATCTTCTCATCCATGTAATTGCATATGTAATACATACATAAAAGATCTACTTAATTAATTTGGATAAAAAAATAGTCAAATTAATTATTTAGAAAAAATATGTGTTAGTTTTTCTAAAATATCTTCTCAAATTATAAATTAATCCTCACATTATTTTATTATAACTCATTACTCAAGTTTAAAACTCCAAATCCAATTTTAACATTACAAATTAAGTCCAAACTTATACAAGTAATAATTTTAAAAAAAAAAAAAAGTTAGGCGGGCCGGCGGGCTCGGGCTGGCAAAATGCCAGCCCGCCAAAGTGCGGGCTACTTCAGCCCGCACCGCTTTTGGCCCGCACCGCTGCGGGCTGGCCCGTATCCGCACCGCCAGCCCGCATTCCCAGCTCTACACAAGACAATCAATCACATAATTATCGTTTTTTCATCTTTTAATGTTTTTGCTTGGTCAGCTAAGTAAGTTATCGCCTGTCGCTGCATGATTGAGACGCACTTCAAGTAGAGCTACAAAAGGGCGAGAGGACTTTGTCTTTTCTTTTCTTTTCTTTTCTTTTTTTGGGGGGGGGGGGGCTACAGAACCAAAACTTCTTGTTAATTGAAGATCCAACAGGCCTGAACCGCATTCTCTGGCGTTTTGAACCCAACCATGGCTTCCCAGGAGAGATTCAACATTATACCGTTAATAATAATAATGCTGAAAAGCTATCATCGTATTTTTGGAATACCAAGTTATTTATATTTATATTCTCATCAATATGAATGTTTCAGATTCATCTTCGCCGTTTCGAACTCGTATCTTAAATGGACACGCTGTAATTCTCCCACCATCAACCCAAGAGTTCGAGTGGCGGTCAATATGAATGTTTCCATTAAAAGACAATAATTTTCTCTTTTCAAGGCACACGTTTTCTCCTCATTTAACTAACTGTTTATTGAGGAGAATATAAGTGACATGGCACTTCAGAAACATCTTGTAGCCTTTCTATTGCTGTCTCTTCAACTGGTTCCTCGAAACTTAGTAGTGTAACGTAATTAATAATGATCCCGTCAGCCTATAGTGAATGAAAGGAAGCTATGAACTTCCCTACCCTTCATCGTCTTTGAGTTAGTAGGTTTCTGACGCGCATGGATATTTTCCCCATAAGCTATCAATTCCCCATGGCAAGCTGTGACCACCGCACAGCGCACACTAAACTCCACAATCCATAAACTACCGAAGCTCTTAAAATATATGTACATAACTAGTTATTAACTACAACCTGTTCTACCACACCCTGAAAGCCGTAACTAGCAGTTATTTCAACAGCAGAAATTCTTTTGCCCTCCACAATCATCCCTTCACCTCAGACAAGCTCAGCATATCCTTTATAATGTAGTTTCCCTCCCAGTGTACTCTATTGTCTTTCTGCACTTAATAACCTGTACACAGCTTGTAGTGTTACAATTCCATCCATTAGAAAGTTAGAGCATTGAGCTTCTCATTCTACGATCATCGAGGAAAAGTTGTATCTTTATGGGCACATACTGAGTTGTCCAGCGAATAATGATATCACCAGAACAATGAAACTTAGAAAAGGCTGCAAACTGGCTGAATGGGATGATGACGTGGTATTTGCACCTAGAGGACTTTCGGACCCGTAAAATGGTGAGGTACCTGTGCTTGATGCTGAGCTGCTGCTTGAATTTAACACTGAAGGTGGGGTACCATAGCTGCAAATGTTGTTAACATTCAGGAATGGAATTAGTATTTTTAGCATTGCTTTGACAGGTTAAGCTACTGATAGGGATGAATTAGTTATCGACTACGAAGGCAATAATTCATCCTCGCCATTTCAAGTTCACGATTATAATAAAATTTCAGCTTTAAATACTATCTAAGAATAATAATTCTTCTAGAACTCTAGACAGCTAACTTACCCTGATGTGTCTGTCCCTGTTGATGATGATGATGATGGTGTTGTTGGAGTGGGAGTGGATGATGTCGTTGTTGTTGGGGTTGACGATGAAACGGAGGAAGACGATGATGGAAAAATGCAAGAACCTGAGCCTGTTTAAAAATTTTTTTGAAAAAAAAAAGGGCCCTTTAAAACTGGTGTTCGATAATGAGATAAAACTGTTGGTTAATAAGCACTTGAGTCGTCAAGCTCTTACTTGGATTCACGTTAACAAGGGAGGCAGTCCCTCCAAAGTCACAGCTTGTTGGTGCTGGATTTTTTTGGTAGTAGCTGTTGAAGGCATAAGAAGCATGGTTTTCAAGACTAATTGGATTGTAACAGTTCCCACCCTGCTGAATTTGTGAACAATCTGCACCACCCATTCCACAAGCATAGTCCAGTGCTGATTGAAGAGCAGTCTCTGAAGCTCCAGTCTTGGCTACACACCAACTCTGACCTGCTGTGGCCGGAGCACCACCGTTCGCAGGAGGTGGAATGGAGTTCACCGCAGGAACACCTCCTGAAGGGGGAGGATAATATGTTGCTGGTTGTGCCCCCGGCACCGTTATCGGAGTTGTCCCGGGATTGGCCGGATTAGTGGGAGGTAATGGCACAGAGTTTGTGGTAGGAACTGTCATAGGCGTAGCAGCAGGATTGGTTGGGGGAGCAGGAATGGTGGAGGGAACTGTGATAATGGTTGGTGTATCTGGGGTTGTGAGTGCTGGTACGGCTGAAGTTGGATTTGTGGGGTAAACTTCATCTAGAGTTCTTCTGATGTGGAATGTGCTTAGGATTTCTCTGCGGGACAAAGGAAAAATCTCCTCCGCTTCCCTTTTGAGCTGGTCCAGATCAAAAGCTTCTATTGCATGGACTTCTGCATAAAATGCCATTACTCTATCAATGAACTTGGTGCTTGTTGCTTCAAGATGTTTAGTTAACGTTCGGCTGAATTGAGCTAGTTCCATTGAACTGGGAATTGCGGGGCTTTTAATTGTTAGAACCAAGGGAAAATCTTCGTGAGGAAGGATAGAAGCAGCATGAGTAGCTCGTTTTATAGCAGACTGTACAAAACGTTCCCCTATGCTTATTTCCCAGTCAATGCTGTGTTCTATCATGACAAAGGAATTTGTTTCCTTTATAAATGACAGAATCCTATGGAGATCATTCTCGTTTGAATTTTTCCACTTCTCTAAGAAAGACAGAGGAAATGCTACTGAGACCTTCACTTCCCTGCCTAGATGAAGCTTACTGAGAACCGCATGAATAGATTTCAGAGCAGAAACTAATAATGGTACCTCATTTTGGCCTAAACTCCCACAACTAGCTATAATGCTTTTGATTTCAACTTTTGGAAGAAAATCCACAAGATTGGTTTTCAGCCATGAAAGTGCAGATGGATTCGAGCTTATCAAAGCTTTTACGAGGTTTTCATTGAGGTAGAAATCAAGCGACTCGTGGGAGTTGGTGAGAGTGCTCAAAGTTCTAGGATCCGTGACAAAAATTCGAATGCGAGATCGTGGCACTTTTTGTTTAAGGAACGATATGGTCCCATCGTGCGCTCTTTCCCGATATGAAAATCCCACAAGAGTTCCTTTAAAGATTTAACAGAGTATCAGAATCTGAAAATCCTTAAATTTTTTCCACTTGAACCTAGGCAATCTCCGCTTATTAGTAAAAGGCTCATGGGAAGTTAGAATATTTTGATGAAGAAAACAGAAGCAAAATCGATATAACAAGTGGTCAGTCCAAAAATAACAAGATGCAACAAGTAGGCATTGTGAAATCGACAAGTAGGATTCCTGTAGAACCCAGGAACATGTGCATTTTCATAGATCAAAGAAGACAAGAAGAAACTGTCATCCCTGGGCTGTCAGCCAGAGAAACCAGGAACACCAAAACCAAGAAAATGATTACTCAATGATATCAGTATGAGTTACTCACCGGAGCAGCAGACGACGAAGAGATAAAGAAAGAAGAAGCACAAAGCAGAATGGTTGGCCATTGTAAGAGAGGGAGAGCGGAATGTAGAAAGCTTCATTTGTAATTGATGTGTGATCGATCCAGCTTGTGTGCTTTAAAGAGAGGGACGGCGTAGAACTACAAGTAAGAGGGCCGGAAGGAGGACGATAAAGGTGGGGAGTGAAAAAGGGAGAAAAGTTGTGGAAAGAAAGACAGCCAAATTGGAATGACAAAGAAAAGGATGTTACTTTGTCACGAAGGATGGATGGGCATGGAACATGGTCGTCTTGGAACAGTGCTAAAAAAGAAAGAATATATCTTGTTTATTTTATTTGCTTCTTTATTTTTTACTACAAAAATTAAAAGCTTCCTTCCTCTTTCCCAAGTGGCGAAATACTCAAAATGGTGTCTTTCGAACACATGCCCTGTTTCTTTCTCTGCCATGAGCAGCGACAGAATCTCGCGCCTCGTGTCTCTTTATTTTCTCGTTTCTTCCTCCCGGGTCCGAGGGTCTCTTGTCTCTGTGTCATATCGAGGGCTTTTAATTTGGTTTAACTTTGTTGTCCTCTGATATTGCTGCTAAAATGGTTGGGGCCACCCATGTTGAGAATCAGTGGGAAAGCAAGATTTTTAGTTGTGCATATGGCGAATAGAGGGGCAGAAAAAGGTTTTGCTTTATGCTGAATGAGATGAGATCGCAATGTAGACTGTTGTCACAAAACTTGGATTAGGACGTTGGGATGTGAAAAGTTAGGAGGATAATGTTAACTGTTAAGGATAACATCAAAATCAGAATCTTGAGGGAGCAAGCATCATCAGTAAACAATAATTAAGTGGACGACAGGCGAGGGTGAAACGAAAAAAGGAGTGATGATATCGATGCTGACTAGGAGTAAAAGTCCAACTTCTGTTAGTGCAGTGCAATGTACAGTTAAGTAGGATGAAAAAAGAGGGAAGCCGTAAAGGTTAGGTGGGTGGTGAGGGGGAGAAATCAGGGTAGGAGCCAGGAGGGCACGTTGTAGGTAAGAAGTGAGAAAGAAAAAGCAATGGTGGGGGGGACAGACAAACCATGTGGTGACTGGAGAGGAATAATATATTATGCTTCGCTGATTTCTGTCAATAATCGAAACCACGTTCTGACCAGGTCTCCTGCCGAAAGCATAGCATTCGCGAGATACGGAGACAAAATGGTGTGATATGGTGTCAAGGCACGGAAAGGGAGAGCAGACCGTCTGTGCATAACAATTCCATTGGATATATGCTTGGTTAAATGTTTTTATTTCTTTACCTTCCTCATCCTAAGAACCAAATAACTAGTTTATATCAATTTAAAAAAATTTAGTTAGTCATTTATTATAAATATTAATTTTTGAAAAGTACGATCTTAAATCACTTGAGTAAAAATTATCCTTTGATGTAAACCTCTTAACACATATAGTGACTATAAATAGTTTGGAGGGGAAAAAAAAACTTGAGGAACAAAGCAAATTAAAATTTTATATTTAGAACTGAAATACACCTCTTAACTGTTGTATTTAGGACAAGAGGAAGTATTTATTTTCCTGTCAAAGCCAGCTAATAACCGGGTTGAGAAACTAGCAGCGAACAGAACAAGCAAGCAAGCTTTAATTTTAGATAAGGTAATAAACTATTTGGTGCAAATGGCGGCGTAAGCGATTAAAGGGGAAAAAAGCAAGTGGAGTGAGATCAGCAAGAGGTGTAAGTGCACAATGCCACGATAACAGTGCAAACATATCACGCGAGATTCGGTTTACAGCATATAGAGCACAGTCAGCTTATCGTAGTAATTTAATCTAATATCTTGCCTCCTTTATATCTCCTCTTTTCCTTTGCAGCCTCATCTCCTGTCTTTTTTCTTTTATTTTCCTGGTCATCATCTGATACTAAAATATCTAATTGCATAAGGACTTTAACATTCACTCTTTTTTTTCATGTTATCAGAGTCATAAATGACGACAGTGCCGGTAAACAAGAGTCATGTTTGATATGCTGTAAATAACCGCAGGTGTTTTCACATCGTGTTCTGTAATACCTGACATTTTATATACACACTTTCACCAACCCCAAAAACCAATGGCGAAACTCCAAAATTTACATACTTCTTGCCGATCACGTCTTTTTCTTCCTCAGTCGTGTGTAGCTGAAGTGCCGTCCACTACCAGCAAGTCATTGAAGAAGGAATCGGAAATTGCTTCCTTGGCGCAATTATACTTGTCCAGACGTTTCTTCAGCGAACGCAGATCTCTCTCATTCTTTGAAGTTCGTTCCTGAAATAACATCAACTTAATTTAGTTGTCTTCCTGATGCTCAGAGATCGGTTCAGCCAGTCTGTTGACATTGTTTTATTTATTTGACCAATTTTTCATCTCTTTTTTCAGCCCAGAAAAAAAAAATCCAAATCATGAAAACAAGTCTAACGGTAAAAAATATGTCTGCACAATCAAAAATGCCGACGAAGAAGAAAAAGTGATTCTAGCAGCATCGTGACATGATGCTAAGTCTTGTGACGTCAGCATCTATGAAAGGATGGCAAATAGTTGCTAAAATGTGAAGACGACTTACAAATGATTTCTTCGTCAGCAGTATATCGACCAAGTAGATCAACCACAACACATTTGTCCTAGGAAAACTGAATCAGAAAAGGCAGCAAGGTTTTAGGGTCCAGGAAATTCAAATAGAACAAAAACAAAAATCTCAGACTCAAGATTAATGTCATAGAAGATTATGCTTTAGAAAATGCACGAGAACATTACCTTCCTTCCCACCAATCTTCTGTAACCTCCTTCATCTTCCTATATGTTTCGGACTGCATTTGGTAGTTTCAATTATTTATGCTTTTATTGAATTAGGAGTGTTCAAATTGAATCAAACTAAATTAATCCAAATCCATCCACAACCAAACATACTAAAACCAGTTCAGATGAATGAAAATCAAACCAAAGAAATTGATTATGAGTAAATTCGCATCACCAACTGAAGATAAACCAAGATGCTGGAATAAGGATCTCGAACTTATGGATTTTATTCATACCACAATCAATAATAAATCACATTGCATAACACAGTGCATATTTAAGAAACAATCTTAGAGAAGAACCAAAACCAAAAGGGAGGGGGAGAAAAAGATTTGAGCCAAAACTAACATAATCCTAAAACCCAGTAAATTCTTTTAACAAAAGTGACTTGGACGATTTGCATTAATTTCGGTCTAAAACAAAACATTTGGACACTAATGAATTCTGGTTATGCTTATGATTTCAATAAAAATTCCTGACCTGTTTGTCCCCCTTAGGACCTTTAAATAGATCGGGATCTGAGGAAAGATCCAAGAAGAGTACATCATCACCTGTAAGCATCATAGGACACGGTTAGTGGATGCAAGTGACACTGTCGTGATCCACTGCAACATTAAAAGGACAATGCCTTAAGCCTTGACCTGTGTTTATTCGTGAAAGAGTAAAGTCAATAATAGATATTATCAGTCCATATGTTTTAACAAGCATATGCCTGCCATCGAGAGTGAACTGCGAAGTCTCAGAGTCGTTTCGACTTAAAAGAATGTTTCCCCTGCGCAAATGCAAATTTATAAATCACTTATCAAACAAAATGCAGCAATTGCAAAAGTAGCCATTCACAGCAGGATAGCCTCACCAGTGAAGATCTCGATGTTCAAATTCATATGCAGATTCAGCCGCGGCAAGCCCAGCAGTAACCTGCATTTTATGATGGAAATGAGACACGTAGAAATAAAACCCTCATGAAACAGGTGGTAGATGCGATCATGAGATATAAACATACCTGAACAAGTAAACTCCTTGCCTCATCAAAATTCATAAGTGCAAAGCTTTCAAGATCCTTGCCACCGTGTTGTAGCACAAACACCACATAACACTGAATGCAGATTTTTATTCAGTCACTTAATATATAGATCATACATTCATGCCTCTGCAACTTGACGTAAAAGTAAGGAACTAACGGCATATCTTGACTTTTCCCTTTCCGACTCTACGTGTTATCTTCATATACTTGTGAAGCACAATTAATATATCTGTGCTACGCATAGAATTTTTTGTTTACAGATCATAGAAGTATGATCGAAATGCATAATTTGGGTGCATAAAGTAAGATGATAAACTATGAACAAGAAGTTGAAATATAACTATTATAACATTAGAAATGGTCAAAATGGGAAACCTGTTTCTCTGGAAACACCTTCGGATGATCATTCTCCGAACCATGATTCTCATCCCAATTCTCCCATGCTTGAATCAACGAAGCGTCATAGGATCCTTGGCATACACTCAATCTGATGCAAAAAGCAAGTCAATATATACCTGAGTTCCACTGATTATTTGTAAATGGCGCATAAATTTGTCTACATGCATAGGGGGAATCCCGATGATTATAAGTTGAGTTCAATCCTGTATCAGTAATTCTGCCGTACCTTGAAAGTTGACATGCCCCATCAACATGGAAGACTTAAAGACCACCATTAGAAGGTCAAGTTGTGAAAGAGAAATATTTGTCTTCGTCATAGGTAATGACAATCAAATTAAACAATCAAATTATAAACTCGAAATTCTTTAAGGAACAGAGCACATTTTTCCATTTTTAAGCATGCACATTTGTTTCAACGAAATCAACTGGGTATTAAACAAGAACTAAAAAATTTTTCTTTCCTCAGATTCGTGATAGAGTTGTAACAAAGTAGCATTGTTAAATTGAGTCAATCACTCACTCTATTGTTTCGATAAATATTCTGCAAGAATTATGAGCATCTCCATCATTTACCCTCAAATAGTTAAGAGTTTTCGAAAGAACCACCTCCTCCAGCAATTCTTCTGCTCTCTGCAGCGCAGAAGCCATAAATAGTTGGTAACATAACATTAATTATATACTTGATCAATGAACACAGCATCTTCTTAAACCCAAAACATAAGCAGGAAACAAACAATATATCAACTCATCCAAACTAATTACTGCCTGCAACACTCAACATTCAGTTCTTTAAACGATTAATTTACAATGATTGTCAGTCAAATCATCCATTAAATAACCTTATTGCAGTAGGGTTAATCAATATCAAGTTATCGATAATCAACAGATAATACTGAAAGCCACACTGTTTATAAAACTGTAAAACAGTGTGGCTTCTATTTTCAGTGAAAGGCATGGGCTGAGATCTATGTAAATTGGACAACTAATCCCAAGAACGGTATGAATGCAAGAGTTACCTTTTGAACTTCTCCATTCACTCTGAAGTCTCCGTCAATAGGAACTATTTTACAAACGTAGCTGCCAATCTTGAAAGCTTCTCCATATGTTCCTTCACCAACTTTGACAATAGTCTCGGGGTCACTGGAAGAAAAATTCCCATAAGCATGAGGATTTGACCACCCTCAAAGAAATAACTTGTGAAGAAACTCAAAGTCATCGCAGCAATCTTAAGTTACAAAGGCCCTCATGCACTAAACTTACAGAACTATTTCTGCTATGCAAATCTGAGGCCATATTGCTTTTCTTTTCTTTTTTTCCCAAAATAACAGGTGGTTAAGGAGAATTTAATTCAATTAATAATCAAATTCTCAACCTCAAACCATGTACCTTACATCATGGCAAGAGGCAAGTACATGCTGCAACCAGAGAAATAGAATTCGCACTACAATACAAATCCCCTGTGCTATTTTAAAAACAGTGTGTGCGTGCGTGCGTGCGTGTGTGTGTGTGTGTGAGTATTTATTCGCCAAGTTCAGAAAACTTCAATGCCTGTAAAGTCAAGGGAAATGGTTTACTTAGTGGGGAAAAATTTAAGGGAATAGCTAATGTTCAAAATAAAGCAGCTTAAAAGCCTTTATTGTAAGACACAGCAAGTAATGGCCTGCACTATAACTAGAACTCACAGAGACTAAAACGCAAACCCACAAGCACATATTTTTGCTATTCTTAGAAATATAATGATATAAGGAACTAAAAAACACACCAATACTTAGATAGCACATCTTGAAACTTCGAAGGCATAGACTGTCCGCATATTTCTAATAAAGCGGCAAATGGACTAAAGTGTTCGTCTGTGAAAGCTGATGATGATGTCAGTGAGAGTTTCTTAACAGCAGCTTCCAAATTTGCAGAATCTTCATCATCTTCAGTGGACATTTTATCAGCTGGCAAATTGATGTCACCCTTAAATAGACCATTACCAAGTAGAGCACTACTGCCTCCAGTTATGATGGTATGAAGATGTGGATTGACTTCCGCAGATTTTTCAGAAGTTCTCAGATCTAAGGAACATAAATCAACATCATAAATAGTCTCCAACCCCCTGGCTGGAGTATCTAATATCTTAGACAGCGTACTTGAAGGACCGCAACTGAGATTCAATTTCCTTGAGAGTAACCATTTTTCTAATCTTGAGCATAAATGAGGCACTTGACCATCATAATTTCCATTGCCGATGGTCCACGTGCCAACTTTCTTGGGCGAGGGGCTCTCCTCTAACAACTCAAAAGCATCAACCTCTTCAAAATATGCTCTCTCCTTCTCAAAGTTGGGAGGTGCTACAAATTTTCCCTGAGAATACCAAACAAATAACTGACTGAAAAATGGTTTGCATCTCTTAGGATACATGAACTTAGAAATCTTCTGAAGTCCAACATTACAAACATACTACGATTCCTGAATATCTCAAGACAACTTAAGAAATTAATTGAAAAGGCAGCTGCCACAGAAATAAAATAACATGCTACACTACTAAAATCGTCATGCAAAATGAGAATAGGGAGCAATAAAAGCATACTTTGGGAAGGGCAGGTTTCCCTTTTCTTTTTTCCTTCTTTAATTCGGGCTGGTAAACCATACAAGCTCCAACAGCTATACTTGTCCTCCCTCTGTTTGAAAGAATTCAATTAGTAGAAAATGAACTAACATCTGATAATATAAAAGAAAGAAAAGAGAGGCAAAGGCAACCACCGCCTTAATTACATTTTAGATCAGTGTACAGCTTCAAACTTGAGCGTTGATTTTCCCTTTGTGATAAATGGAACTCAATAGGTTACGCGCTACTTAGATTTCGCCTTTTGTTATTTGAACTATCTAGCCTAAAATGCTAGCAACTCTCTTGTGGCCGTCGAAGCAAAATTACACCATAGTATATACCAGTTGCATTGAGCTGTACGTAGAGTTCACTTTTGAATGTATAAACATTATGCAATTTGAAAATGAAATAGCGAGATAGAAAAAAAGTGCAGCGTAAGGTTGACTAATGTCTTCATCACGCCGAAACCTTTCCAAATATCTTCTAGCTAGTGTACATAGAAATGGATGTCTAAGGGGGTAACCGAGTCAATCATTTTCTTGAATCGAAAACCTTAGGCGCAAAGAAACAAAGCAGGGTAAAAACTAAGAAAATGAAGCGTTCCAAGAAATACAGGAGGAAAACCTAAGAGAGTGGAAACTACAAGCAAACCTTGTCGAGAGAGATCGATTCCAACTGACTCGCTTGTTTGGGTCGACCAAACTCACCCGATTCGCAGGCCGGCGACTGAAATCAGAATGCCTTCCGGAAGCATTGAAGGATGAAAACGGTTTAGAACTTGATAGAAAGGAAAAATCAAGAGAAATGCAAAATTAGATGGTTAAATGAGTGAATGTGGAATTACAAGTTCAAGTCCTTTTGGTTGTTCTGGGGCTTTCTTCTTCTGTAGACCACCTCAACTTGTTGACGCTGCTGCTGCGGTGCATCTGCACCCACGATTTCTGCCCATAAATCAACAGAACTTCCTCCTGCAAAAGTTGCACGGGAAAACCAAGAGAGTATTTGAAACTGACAAATAAGAACATCGGAAAGCGAGGACTTGCTATCTCCGTAGGCCGTACCTGCCTTGGAACCCATTGCTTCAGTGTAGACGAGTTCAATGCAGTTTGCAGAGACCGGGTGGGAAAACCCACCTGGCGGGATTGATGCTTTTTGAAAAACCTCCCAAGTTTCCCCACAAAATGTCACCAATAATTAGTAATAATAAGTTAATAATACTCTTACTCGTCTGCTTATAAATATAAATACAAAGCTAAATTAATTAATTCTTAAAAATTCAAAAAATTATGTAACTTTTTTTTTGGTCAAAAAAGTTACCTAAAAAATTAGGTAACTTTATTATTTTCTATTCAATTAGTTAACTTAATTTTTTTTTATTATGTAGAAATTTATGTCATTTTTCTCGAAATATCATTATCTTAATGAAGTATTAAATATAACACATAAAAAAGAAGGAAGATAATGAAATTCATGAAAAAAATAATGTGACCAAAAAATATTAAATAAAGGACACAACAAATACTGATATTCTATTTTTTTTTAAATGACACATAAAGAAATTTGAAAATGTGAAACGCCAATTTGAGAAGTTAAGGAAATGTAATGACAGAAAGGGAAGTTCTTCTTAAATTAGAATTTTAAAATTCAATAAAATGACAAAAATGCCCTTGTTCTAAAAAAAACCTCAACTCTTCACCGGTGACCTGTGCCGGTGTGGTGGCTGCCGATGAAGCTTTTTTGTCACAGTAATTTTTTTTTTTACATGGGAGAATATGGTACAAAGTGGTGGGGGTGGGATTTGATCCCATAACCCTTTGGCCATTTGGGCCAAAAAAAAAAGATGACGATTGGGCCATCAAAGATTTCTTAACCTTATAATGCAAACAAAAATTTAAGTTGACTCTTTTACTGTGACTTCAACCCGTGATAACAATTTACATGAGGATGACAAGTCTTAATTGAGAAATAACAAGTCTAAATTTGATATTAACGAAACAACTTTTTCTGATACATAACAAGAAGTAGCATGTACATTAATTAAAAATGACCATAATTTATTTGAAAATAACACGTCTTTATTGGAAAATAACAAGTCTAAACTTGAGATTAATAATGTGTCTTTTCCTGATACATAACAAAAAATAGCATGTACATTAATTAAAAATTACCATGATTTATGTGAAAATAACATGTTTTTACTAAAAAATGACAGGTCTAAACTTGATATTAACAAAGTAACTTTTCTAATACACAGCAAGAAATAACGTGTACATTCCCAAATAAATTGTTGTCATCTTCTACTAGAGAAGTGTCATTTTCAGTAAAGACGTGTCATTTTCAAATAAATTATAGTCATTTTTAATTAATGTACATACTATTTCTTGTTATATATCAGCAAAAGACACGTTGTTAATCTCAAGTTTAGACTTGTCATTTTTCAATAAAGACGTGTCATTTTCAAATAAATTATGGTCATTTTTAATTAATGTACATGCTACTTCTTGTTATGTACCAGGAAAAGTCGCTTTGTTAATATCAAATCTAGATTTGTTATTTCTCAATTAAAACTTATCATCCCAAGGTAAACTGTTGTCACGGGCTGAAGTCACAGTAAAAGAGTCAACTTATATTTTTGTTTGCATTATAAGGTTAAAAAATCTTTGATGACCCAGTGATCATCTTTTCTTTTGTTGGCCCAAATAGCCAAGGGATTGTGGGATTAAATCCTACCCCGCCACTTTGAATCATGTTCTCCCATGTCAAAAAAAAAATCTCCCATGTCAAAAAAAAACTGTGACAAAAAAGCTTCACCGGCAGCCACCACACCGTTGACCACCACCGATGCCCGGTGGCAGTTGTCGGCCGCCGATGAGGGGCTAAGGGTTCTAAAAAAAAAAAAAAGGCAAGGGTATTTTTATCATTTTACTGAATTTCAAAATTTCAATTTGAGAAAGACTTCCCTCTTTGTCATTACATTTTCTTAGCTTTCCAAATTAACATTTCACATTTTGAAACTTCTTTATGTGTCATTTTTCCTTTTCTTTTTCCCAGATAACTGGGGTTGCGATTTTTTTTTTTACAATACAATTTTTTTGCTGGTAAAACACAATACGCAGTTGGAGATTGGAGCTGCAAATGATGACATGGATGTGAGGCTTTTTTTGGGTTTTGACAACACATGAATGTGAGATTTTATAAAAGGCCCGTTATCATCGTCGTGGTCCAAGTCCGTTAATCGAGGGGACGCAATCCCTGTAAATATGGGTGTGTTATTTTTTTTCCAGCTGGCTGTATTAAATACGGTATCAGAAAATATGTAGGATATGTTTATTTGCAATTTATAACTTATGACTTGTAAATAATACTTCTCCAATCCTTAATGTATGATCTAATTTAAGAGTTAATATTGGTCCTACATGTAAGACATATTTAATATGTTTATCAATTTTTCTCAAATTAATTTTATTAATATGAGAGGGAGAAAATAAATTAAAAAAGATGAATAGGGTATTTTAGGGGAAAATCATATTAACTAATTTAATTCACATTCTTAATCTACTCAAATTAATTAATTAGGTCATATATTAAGAACAAGAGTAACATTTTTCTGATTTTCTGTATTTTTCATGCACTTTTAAAAACTGTGCTTAATGAAATAAAATTCTTCTTGTATATTTGCCTTCCATGATATAAAATTAGTTAGAATAGATTACTATAATTACCCGTTAACTTACGGCCCCATAGGTCTCTTGAAATTTAGATCTTCGCATGGGCTCATTTTAGTTCCATCTACCTGTTTCGAGGCACTTGGCAGAATAGTCGTTTTCCCAGGAAATTAAATTTGTGTTTGAATAAAACAAGCGTTAAAATAAACTATCCTCTTTTATATTTTTGACACTGAGATCCTCTGCGCGAGCAATGAGGTCTAAAAACTAACAATCAATTTCATACAGTCACTCGCTGGGAAAATGCTAGTCAAGCTTGCGACTGGTGAGTAATATAACACTTTCCCCATCCTCCTTTGTGCGTACTCCTTCAGCTTTATTTTTCAGCTCTATTTATCAGTCACGGAGATAATTTTTTTCTTATTTACAAGTGATATTATTAATTTTTATATGGATATATAATTTTATCGTGATCTATATTGTATTTTTTAAAATGTGTATATTAAAAATACACAAAGTTAAAAAATTATTAAATTCTAAGCTAGAATTAATATCCCAAATAGAAAAATACCTGTGTTTAGCCGGAACAAAAAAAAGTAAAAGTGATTTATAAATAGGTTGAGATAAATACTACTTTCAGTCTTATGTGAAAAAAAAAAAATAGCTATTTATTTTTATTAAATGAGGCCTAAATATATTGAGTATCCTTAATCACACTTCAAAGGGAAAATTCACCCATTGGACGGACTATGAGAAATATGTGAATAAGGCACAGGCACATTGGTATGCTCCTCCAGTTCTTAATGTCAACATATAATTTGAGAGTTGACGTTAGTTTCATATGTAAGATATATTTCATATATTGTTTATTTTTTAAAATTAATTATAGTGATATTCTCTAAACATTAATCAAATAGAAGAAGGATGAAGAAAATTACAAAAATAATTAAGATATTTTAGAAGAACATATTATATGAATTAATTTAATCAACATCCTTAACCTACTCAAATTAATTATTTAGATATTATATTGATGATTGGATGAGTAATACACTACCTTCGATCATAAATATATAAGCTAGTTTATAGTATAAATTATTATACAAACTAACTTCTATATTTACGGTCGGAGGTAGTATAGGATTTTAAAATTGCATGGACGTCAATCGTGCTGTTATTTGCCTACGGGTGATGAGACTGGCTATCATGTCCTGAGAGAACAAAGATACAGGGCTACCTACCATATATTTTGCAAGTGTTCTGGATAATGTCACATTAATCAGGCCCTAATCATGCCTCTAAATGACGCCTTCTTATTTGGCTGTTTGTGGAGTCATTTCCATGGCCGAGACCCCTCATTCATAGCAACCAGGCTTCCCGGTTGATCAGCACTCAATTACCAAATGCCTCGATTTGATGGCTCTTTGATTTTCAAGCCCAATCGTTTTGACGTACACGTTTCTCTTGATTTCATAACAAACTCCATGATTTATGCAGTTTTGCACTCTCTGATTTTGACTAATGCACACTAACTACGGGCAATTGTTGGCCAATTCATGCTTCGTTTCTCGACCGGACATTAAGGTTCCAAATCACGTCTGGTAGGGCTTCCTTTTCGATCCGATCACTGCTTGGTGTAGACTCCCCGGCTTGCATATTCTCCTTCGTTTGATTTGTTTCGTATGGGATTCGCTCTATTTTTTCAGAGAATTATAATGAGATTTGGAAAGGAAAAAAAAAACTCTTCCGATCCTTAATATAGGACCTAGTTCTTAAGTTGGTTTTGGTCCCAAATATAAGACCTATTTCTTATATTTATCAATTTTCTTTAAATTATCCCTATAGATACTCTCTCAACCATAATCAAGTAGAAGAAAGAGAGGGGTATTAAAAAAGATGATTATGGTGTTTTATGAAAAATATGTCACTTTTCTTATAATTAACTAACTTACATAGTTTTCTTAATCTAATCAAATTAGATAAATGAGTCTTATATTAAAGACCAGAGGAGTATAAAATAAGTTGCAAAAATTGTCATTTTTTATTTTGAAACTTGTTATTACAGTCTGCTTAAATTATTATTGAATTTTTTTAATAATTATATTTTGTTTTTTGGATCTCATTATAATTCTCCTTGTCTTTTTTGTAACTTTCTCCTAATAAAAAAAAAGTTTATATGACCTTTTTAATAATCATTTTCTATTTCGGCACTACTCTAAACGGAGTGTCGTCAGACGCATGCACGCGTCAATATCATCTTTAGCATTATTGGAGTCGTATTAACGGAGATATAGGGCCCGTGACATAAGGAAATTAGCAGCGAGTAACTTATGCGTGATGAGGCACAATTAACTGGTTCATTAAGTTAAATGTCATACATAAAGACAAGTGAATGATAATAGCTGATATAGTACTAAATAAAAATTAAAAAAGAATCAAATCTAAACCGTCCGAATGAAATAT